TAGGATTGTCCGTCACTAAGTCAATCTTATGGACTACCGTGGAGGTAACACCTGGAATTTATCAGAAAAGACGTCTAAAAAGTTACTCACACATTGAAGTAGTTCATGTCTCTTATGGTCATCCAAAGATTCATTAATATTAATGTTGGTAGCATCCGAGTGGTCAAGAGTCACCAAGTCATATAGTTCTTCATCATAGTCTAAGTTAGAGGTGTCAATTACGCACACTTTACATTCTTCAGTTGTTTTATCAAGTTCGTGTGGAAAAACTAAGTCAAAGTTTTAAGGCAGTTCCCGATTTCTTCGGTAATATTTCTTAAGGATGTTGATATGATAAAGCTTAGGTTTTCCCTTGACTTCTATGAAGTAATTAACTTTCCCACAAATTTTTAATACTTTATATGGACCTTTCCATGCTACTAATAATTTATTTGACTTGATAGACAAAAGTACAAGAACTTCGTCCCCTACTTTAAAACTTCTCCTTGATTTTGGAATAAAAATAGGTTTTGTACTGGTCCATTGACAACTTAAGTTTTTCGAAACTATGTCAGAGGTCTCCGCAAGTTTGGATCTAAGGCCAAGGAGAAACTGGTAAGAAGACTGAACCTCAGCACTCACCTCCTCATTAATCCATAAGTCATGAAGGATGGACAATGGGCCTCTGGCCTGTCTACCATAGAAGAAGTTCAAAAGGTGAAAACCCCAAAGAGTCGCTGGGAACTTCCCTCATGGCAAACAAAAAAAGCAACAGGGTAGGTAACGATGCCATCCTTGGGTTTTAAAGGGGACAAATTTTCCCTTTAAATGGACTTGAGAATCAAAATGCTGGCGCTCAATCCTCCCTTTTACAGCGGGATAAATAGGATGTGGTGAAGAGAGGCTTCACTCCAGAAGTTGGTATAGATGTTGGCATTAAGTCAGATGTGAATTGTGTCCCACGGTCAGACAAAATTTCTCTAGGGATGTCCACTCTGGAGAAGATGGACGAAAGGGTTCAGCCCCCTCTGTAGTGGTTATGGTCTTTAAGGGTATGGCTTCGGGGAAAACTCGAAGCATAATAAAACTAATGTTAATATATATCTATGTCCCCCAGATGAAAGTGGAGATAAAGGACCAACGATGTCATAGCACTCTTTCAAAAGGTACCGTAAAGACTGACATTTGACCCTAGGTACTCGCCTGGTACCTCGGGAGGATGACAGTTGGCAAACTTTACACGATTTTACAATAGGTAGTGACACTGAGGACATTTTTGGCCCAAAAAAAAGGTTTCCTAATTTTATTTAAGGTTTTGCGATGCGAGAAATGTCCGGCCACTGGCAGGTCATGAGCCATTTTAAGAACAGTCTCTCTGCATTGACTTGGAACAACTAAGATGGAATAGTCTATCTCATCTGAATTTAATTTGAATACTGGCTTGTGCAAGATACCTTTTATATATTCAAATTTATATGAAAAGTTTTTCCTTTGGATAACTTGATTTGTTTAGCAGCATTATGGCAATTCTGAAGAGAAGGGCAATTATGTTGTAAATTGACAAAAGAGTCCTTCGATATATCTAAAGGTTTGAAGTCATGGAAAATCAAAGGATGGATAGTAGGAGAAGCCTAGGCTTTGGTCTGAGACCTAGTCAAGACATTTATGGTATCGGAGGTGATATCTTCACTTTCATCTAACAAGTGAACCGGTGATCCTACTACCTCGCTTTCGAGAGTAGCATCACTGGTTTTTAACCCCATATGAATCTCACGAGACATTGTCTCATCTGAACTTTCGAGGGACTTCTCTGACTACAGGAAGAGGATTTGAAACACTTATATCCATCTTTGGTGATGAAAGGTCAACCTCAGAAGGAAGAATGGCACCTTTTACATTACCTATTAGTACGGAGGGAAGAAGTGATGGTGCAGTACGGCTCAGACCAACCTGTGAACCCTTTAGACCTAATTTAACAACGGAAGGTAGAAAGTGTCCGTACGGCCCAAGTAGTCTGAAAGTATAGCAGAGGAATGAGTTTCTTTAAGATTTGGGAACAAACTTATCCCGAAATTAAATATACTTTTGCATCCAGGGTCCGTAAAAAAGGTAGATACATTAAGTCCATTAACTGTTCCTGAACAGAAGGGTGCTTGGTCTTACAGTCTTTAAAACATCTTCCAACTTTTTGGACCTTTTTTAGAAGGACAATCTGGACGTTTATGTCCCTTAACAAACCCCACAAATGACAAACAGGAAAAAAAGAAGTCATTTTACTTTCCATTTTCAGCTTTGATTTCTAAGGTCTGATGAACCTTGCCCTTAGGGTTCGTCCCTTTAGGTCTTCATAGGATTTGTGAGCCTCAGCATACAAGTCAGCAGCCTCACAACTTCCCCCAGCTTTAATCAGGTTCGTTCTCTGATGAATGTTCGTATCTGATGGGGAAGAGCTGTCAGGAACTGGTCACAACCATGAAGTCTCTAAGAGATTCATAACTGTGATCAATTCCTGAATATCTATCCAAAACTCGAACAAACGAAAGAGTGTTACCTGTAACGCGAAAGTTTGGCCAGGCTGTAAGGTGGCATACCTGAAATCTTTCCCGTAAGAATTAGTGGTTTTTTGATATGCTTTAAGGATTGCCTTCTTCGGTAGGTTATAATTACATATGATATCCTGCGACAAAGTTGCATAGATATTCAAGGCTGTACCAGAAAATAACATTCCTAACCTAGTAGCCCATGTGTCAGTAGGCCATTCACAGAGGGTAGCGGTATTTTCAAACCTGATAATGTATGAAGTAATGTCTTCCCTCTCTGTGAAGGGAGGTAAATTAGGTGTTGGAATATGTGCACTAGCTGCACGTTGTTCCATTACTCCTTCATCTAATTGCTGTTGTGAGAAAGTTAACATTTTATTCTCCAATTCAAGGCGAGCTTGCTCGAGCTCGCGATCCTTTTCTCTCTCCCTTAACTCATATTCTCTATCCTTTGCTCTTTCCTCAAGTTCGCTTAATTTAACTTGTTCCTCACGTACTTTAGCTCTTTCCTCGCGTTCTCTAGCTCTTTCCTCACGCTCTTTTTTGTCTTCTCTTTCGATTCTCTCTCGATCCTTTTCCTCTTGTCTTTCTCTTTCAAAATGTCTCACTTCTCTCTCAAATTTTCTCTCTCTTTAGTTCTTTCCTGAATCTTAGCACTAATGAAAGATTCTAAATTTTTCCCTGTTATTCCTAACTTACTTCCAGCATTCATTTCCCAAAAATGGTATTCATCCTACTTGCAAGAATAACTTAAACACCAGGGGAAAATGAAACGGGTACAAAGAAAACGGAGGGTTTCAATTCCTGCTCTGCTCCAAACTGTAAATAAACCAGAGGGCTCGATCCCTACTTCAATTAAACAATATGTATTAATGAAAACAAAGGGTTCTATGCCGGCTCTGAGCAAACAGTAAGTAGAATGGGGTCACTTGACCATCAAATCTTCTCACCAACAAATCAAGAGTGTCCTATGACAGTTCCCTTGATATAATAAAGAGCTCAATGACACAAAATTTTCACTGGAAAATCTCGGGGCCCTAGAGTCTAATCTCCAAAGTGTTTCAAGCTTCACAGAAAGGTGGCAGAATTAACCATTATATCCTGCCCGACTTGACTTACAATAAATTGAGACTATAACAATCACCAAATCTTTTAAAAACCTTACCGTAGTCCTACCATAGAGAATGATTACTCATGCTGGTGGTAACCGCTGTGGTATGGGGGCGTTGAATTTCAATGGGAGATTCGAGATGGAGTTGAATCTTGATTCTGTCGAGTTGTATCCTGGCAAGGTCGCCACTTGTGAAGGCTTACTCAGCCCTGTAACAACTTCAGACAGTAATTACCAAGGCTGGCTCCTCCTCAGGAAATTTAAAAAATAGAAAAAGAAATAATAACAGACAAACATAAACACTTTATTATATAGAAAATATAAAACACTTAAATATGAAATATTAATCTACATAAAGAAATGAAAAATGAAAATATAAATGATAACTGAATTCAACACTAATTTAAAACTTGGGTGTCTGGTGTTGGTGACACTGCTTGTTGAAATCGTAGCCGTTGCCGATTTATGGGGGGGGGGGGTCGCTGGTTGTTTGTTACAACCCACTGGTTGTTTCTTCACAGTATAGCTTGAGTATTCTATCCCGATGACAGGAAAGCAGGTTTTTTACCGCTGCAGTGATGAGGGGTTACGTCTGCAATTTCATACAGGTGCACAGGTAATTAAATCCAAAAAAGGGGAAGTTCAGGACGTTAGTCAATCTCCATCAGTTCTTCTCGTTGATTGACAGGTGACCCTCTCTGTCATCCAAGCTGAAAAGATAGACAGGTTACCCACTGCTTAAATAATCACTCTCCATGATAAGTACAATACCTAAAAGATGTGGTGATTATTACAACAGTCAACCTAGAGCAAGACTGAAAGGACTAAGTTTATTATTGGTCAAAAGTGAAGCTTTCAACCAATAAATCCACTAGAATACAAGGCAGGCATGTACTTACAGTAGTGCTGGGAGCTGTGAGTCTAGTGATTACTGTTTGGACTGGAGCCCCACACGTCACCTTTCGGGGGGGGGGGGGAAGAAGGAGGGGAAGGGTTAGTGGGAGCTAGACTGACCCTACCTTAACAAGCAGCCGGCAATCAAACTATCACTTTAGGGGTGGGGGAGAAAAGGCGGGAATAGCGGGAGCTGGACTTACCCTACCTTAACAAGTAGCCAGCAATGAAACTATTGTTACTATATACTCCCTCGCTACTCCTATCTATTGAACTTTTCCCTCACAACCTCAGCCAGAGGAAGACCTCAACCAGAGGAAGACCTCAACCAGAGGAAGACCTCAACCAGAGGAAGACCTCAACCAGAGGAAGACCTCGAGATAAACCGAATAAGTCATCATATGACTACGACGTTCTCCACGAACAATTCTCATGATCATGTAGATAAATAAGTGTTAAGTAGGTTTCTGTTACAGGAGAGGATGCAGTGCACGGCAGCTGCGTCTAGGCCTACTGGAGGAGTCGCCTTCATCATCAAGGTGAGGACTCTCATTCTCTTTAATGGTAGAAGCGAATGTGTTTGTTAAGGCTGCATGCAACCTCAAATTTAATATTTTCTATCTTTTGCTCGTTATATCTCTCTCTCTTTTACACAGGGCTTAACAAGGTTAAGTTATGGTTCCTAACTTTATTTCCAAGCTGAGAGCTGTTACTTATATTAGCTCATTTGAAACATACAAACAGGGAACAGGATGAAGTTTAAGCCATCTGTGGGCCAGAGGTTTAATTTGGTCAACTGACTATTTCATTGATGTCATTATGCTGTACGAACATGTTCCAGATGTGCGTCATCCCAAGAATAATATTATATTATAATCAAAACAGTGTTGCAGGCTAGGGTGTGCAACACTCCCTGCCCTGCAGGGAGTGTTGCACACCCTACAAGCAACACTCCCTGCAGGGCAGGGAGTGTTGCACATCCTACAAGCAACACTCCCTGCAGGGCAGGGAGTGTTGCACATCCTACAAGCAACACTCCCTGCAGGGCAGGGAGTGTTGCACATCCTACAAGCAACACTCCCTGCAGGGCAGGGAGTGTTCCACTTCCTACAAGCAACACTCCCTGCAGGGCAGGGAGTGTTCCACTTCCTACAAGCAACACCCCTGCAGGGCAGGGATGTTGCCTCCTAAAGCAAACCCCGAGGGCGGGGTGTTCCACTTCCTAAAAACAAACCCCCCCAGGGCAGGGAGTTTTACTCCTAAAAGCAACCTCCCTGCGGGGCGGGGAGTGTTGCACATCCTAAAAGAACCTCCTCGGGGCAGGGGAGTGTTCCATTTCCCTACAAGCAACACTCCCCAGGGCGGGGGGAGTTTTCCATTTCCTAAACAACATCCCTCGGGCAGGAGTGTTCCCAAAATCCCAAAAGCAACACCCCTGCGGGCCGGGAGTTTTCCATTCCTACAAGCAAAAACCCCCCTGCAGGCGGGATGTTCCATTTTCCTAAAAAGCAACACTCCCTTCAGGGCGGGGAGGTTGCACACCCCTACAAGCAACACTCCCGCAGGGCGGGAGTCTTGAAAACCCCTACAAGCAACACCCCCTGAAGGCGGGGAGGGTATAACGGATAACAGATATAACAGAGGGAGAGTTAGCACGGGGGACTTGCTAAAGGAAGTAAAATCATATTTGTGTAATAAATCATTGTTGAAAAAGTAAAAGAGGGGTCAGTGTGAAAGGGGGAACTGTCAGCATGGGGGAAAGGTGAGTAAGATGTTAGAGTGGTGATGATGTCGGAGGTAAATTCTGTGTATGTTGAAGAGGACGACAGCCCCAAAGAATATGAAAAACTGAAAGGGGGACCTATAATTCTCATAGAGGGGAACGGTCCCTTCCATGAGAACCCGTGAGTGAGACGTTTGCCCGATGCGAGAGGGAAAGTATAGTTTCCCAAACAACATCGATCCCAAAAGACCAGATCATAAACCATTTGAAAAAATTAAATTTTGTTTGAATCAATTAGAAACGTTTTTCCAACAATTCAAGGTACTGGTTTACACAAAACACCCAAAAAATAAATCCCCCTATAAAAAAACCAAATCTTACCCTACCTCCACAATCCCCCTTCCCTCCCTAAACATCAAAAATACCCCAACCTAACAAAATCAAAAAATTTATTTTTTAAAAAAAATTCAACAAATTTAAAAAAAAAACTAAAATAAAATTAAATTTTCCAACTTCAAAACAAAACATTTCTAAATATTTAAAAAATTAAATACACAATTTTTCAATTAACCATACACACTTTAAAAACCTAAAATTATAAAAAAACCTTAAAAAATTCCCAAATTTTTCAAAATCTACCCCTTAGGGGAAATTTTTAAACCATCAGGAATTAAGGGCATAAAAATCAGAAAGAAGATAAATCCAAAAGGCAAATTTTTAAAAAAAGGCGATGGGGAAGAAAGAGCGAACTGTTGGAGCCCTTAAGGTGGGGGGAGGAAAGTTAATAAAGAACATTAAAACGGGGCAATGAAGAAAGAAAAGGAGTAAAAGTAAAGGAAAAGGTGGGTAAAAAGAGGGGAAAAATAAGGCCTCCTAATTGTTTCCCCGAATTAGGGGGATCCAAAGGGAATAGAACACAAAATATCGGAGGAATGTAACGCCAGATACTAGAAAGAATTTTGAGAGGGGAAAAATTTTAGGGAATACCTGTTTTTAAAACGGGAGGGGAAAAAAAAAGGGAAAAAAATTTAATTGTTTTCAAAGGATACGTGGTCCCCAAAAGGTTTTGTTTAAAATGTTTAAATGGGAGAGGTTTGGGGGAAAGGGGAAACCGTTTCAAATTTGGGAACGGGTAGAAGGGTAATGTTCAAGAAAATTGATCTGGTGTTGCGGGGTTAAAAAGGTTGTGAGAGTGTGGTAACTGGGTTGGCAAAAAAGTGGGGTTACTGGGTGTGCAAGAAGTTGGTATACTGGGTGTGAAAGAAGTTTTGGTATACTGGTGTGTGCAAAAAAGTGTGGTATAGGGTTGTGCAAAAATGCATTTTTAAAAATTATGGGGAAAATAACCCGAGAATGCAAAAAGAAATACCCGAGACGGGATCGAAAACAGGAGTGCAATTTGGGTTCTTCCCCAAAAACAGTTTTAAAAAAAGGAAAAATGGAAAACAAAAACCAAAAAGGTCACCTCAATTAGCCCTAGGCCTCGCTTTTTCCCAATGTAAAATTATGATTTGCAAATAAAGCAACTGAAAACATGAACAGGAGTTAGAAAATTTACATGGGGAATTTAGCGAAAAATTATTAAGCATGAAGGCTGGAATGCTAAAAAGGAGGTGTGTAAAAGGTTTTGAAAGATGTGAAGGAGTGATGGGGGGATTGGTGTTTGTCATTCGGAATGGGTTTCAGCGTTCACATGACAAAGATTGCAGGTAGTAAGATCAAGACGGAATGGAGGGTGGTAAAGATTGGGGGAAAAATGAAAGTTACCAAAGAGGAGATGAGAGGTTAGAGGTAACTTGGGAAGAAATTGGGAGAGGCGGAAAGAGGGGAATTTTGTCGAGGGGGGGGGGGGGTTTAACTCTAAACCCTAACGATTCTAAGATTTAAAGTGCTAGTCTCAAGAGTGAAAGGAAAATTTTTGGAAGGATAATGATGGAGGGCTTAAAAGAGTTTTGAACTTTGGAAGCTTTAGACTTTGGAAAAGTATGGATGTGAGGTGAGGGTGTAATTATGGGGGCTGCGTAAAACAGTCATGCGAGCGAGAAAAGACTGAGGACAAGGGAAAATCGAAGAGGTAAGGCCCTTCGATCCCAGGGCTAAAAAAAAGTTAGATACAGAGGCGACTGGAAATTGTGACGGAAAGGAAATTTGTAAAAAGAGGTCCCACCGAGGTTGGGAGCCCCCCTAGTAACCTAGAGTCTAGAGTAAGTAAGCTGTGGAAATCTCCTCTGGAGGCGATGGGGAGACGTTTTGACAAAGAGAAACCTTTCTCATTGAGACGACAGTTTTCCTCTTCCTTTAAAAAAATTTGCAACGGCGAAGTAAGCCGTGCCCCCCAAATTACAAATTAAGGCAAGGGGGAGGTTGGGCTGTGAATCAAAAAAGGGTTTATTTGCCAAAAAACCTAATATTTCGCTGAGGGGCCGAAGCGCCCCACAATTTCATTGTGTTATGGTTGTGTTGGAATAAAATTTTCCTTTATTTTGAAACGGTGCCCCCACGATATAACAGAGGATGAAAGTTCAGACGTCAAAATTTACCGAGTTTTTTGCATGGAAAGTGTCCCCTGCCTGCGGGCAGGCAGACAAAAAGTGTTAAATTTCAAATTGGGAGGTTTGGAGCTCAAGGTTTTGGGAGCTAAGGCTTGGAGCCAAGGCCTTGGAGCTCAAATTGGATTTAAAGGGGTCTTGGAGCCAATTTTGAACAGTCAAAAAATCACGTTAAAAAATTTGGAATTTAAAAAAACTACGATATCACGGCAAGAACTAGAGAAAAATTTTTATGAATCTTTAAAGGGAAATATTGCAATGGAGAAAAAGAACAAAAGTTTGTGAGTCGGGCCCAAACAATCTGTAGTGACAATGCGACACCACTTTTTAAGGGAAAATAAAATGAAATATTTAGCCAACATGGCTAGGAGTGCCTTGCTGATACTATGATCAGATAGTCAGTGGGAGATGTCAGATATTGAGTGAAGAACTTAGTTCATTGTGTACCTTGAAATGTAGAATGTCACCTCGGCAGACAAAAGAAAGAGGGCAGTTTGGAACCCCCCAAAAGGCCTACCTCCTTCGGTGACCACCTCCCAGAACTGACAGGGAGCCCCAAAGGTTAGACCCAAAAAAAAGCCCCCCTCTGGGAAAACTGGAGGGGGATTGGGACATCCCCAGATGATCCAGATTCTACGGCAAACAGCAAACCACCACTGACAACCTGAACAGAATGAGAAGGACAGTGACATAATTTCTCCAACCTTAAAGCTAGAGTTTCGAAGGGATGACTCCAAAAGCAAAAGCAGGAAAGGAAGTAAAAGGGAAGGATCGGGTAGAGGAGGGGGGATGCAAAGGAAGTGGGGAAGGATAGGGCGAGAAGGAAGGAATGGGAGGAAGGGGTAGTTGGGTTGGGTCTGAGGAAGATAAAAAGGCCCAGTTTCTCAAAACAAAACCTAATTCTCCCTGATACCAATTTCCAAGGGAACTTTTGACCAAAAATTCCCCCATGATACCCATTTCCCAGGGAACTTTGACCATAATACCCCCAAGATACCCAAATTTCCCAAAGGGAAACTGACCAAAATTCTCCCAAGATATCCAAGTTCCAAGGAAACATTGACCAATGCCACTTGTACAGAAATGTTAGTTAACGCCCATCAATGCCCCCATCGTTCGCATTAAATTTCCAAACTTTGAAATAAGTAGTCATCCGACAATGCAGAGTTGGGGGTTTCTGTCATTCCACCGTACTTTAACTGCGCAAAATTTCTGTCAAGACGGCAGTTGACATGAAAAAAAATGACGTCTTTTAATTTTTATAACA